AGAAATCTTGAAAGTTGAAAGATTTAAATTGTTTGGAATTTTTACCCATTTATTAAATATTTGGGGTTATAAACGAGCAATTATTTCTAAAATTTAGGTTGCGCTGAAATAGCAGATGAAGTTTACATGGAAGTCATTGTAGGGGAAGAGGAAGGAACTTCTCTCCCTGAGATTCAGCTTGAGGACTCTGATGTTAATAAAACAATTGTCCCTGTTGTCTGGGCTGCGGCATATGGTAGGACACTGGCATTTTTTCACCTGATAACATATGTATTTAATTAGCCTTTAGGCTATTAAATATACTGTTCTAATGCCACCATGAGTTGGCTAATATAATAAAATGTTTTGCTGTAGACCAATTCATCTCTACTTACGTTACATGATTTTTCTACCACGTCTCGTACTATTTAAAATGAACCTTGCTTAATGCATTGTTTTTCAGTAAGATCTATCTTAAATCCTACCTGTATAAGTGAGTGCCATAAAAAATTTTATTTTTCGAAAATAGGAATAGTTTTTTGAAAATCGATCCTTCCCCTTTTAGAAAAACTTATTTCATTTATTAACATCATAGATAATATTTGGGATTTTGAAAAGAAAACAAATCCAGGTATGCTCTTTTACAAAGTATGTAATGAAAGGTAAATTTATCTTTTCTCTTTGTCTATTTTATTTCATTTCTGTGTAATGTACAAAATGGTCCAGGTATACTCTTTACTTTGAAAAATTTATCTAAACTTGGTTCTCCCAAAGGTTCATTCATTCAACAGTCACATATTGAGCATCTTCAATGTTGGGGGTACTCTACAGAAATATCTACCCAGTTTTTATTTAAAAACTAAAACTGTTCTAGATGTTAACAATTCCAAGGATGCTGAAAGCAGCCCTTATTGTCAGTGTCTGACATTGTCTAATCTATGGGAATGGAAGAACTCAAGAAGAAATTTTCTAATCCAAGGAATGATGGGCAAAGTAAGATTTTGTAGATTAAGATGTGATCCTCTAGTAATCACTATAATCGGCATATCAGTTTTTCATTAGTCTTTTTTTTTTTAGGAGATGAAAGAAGAGTTTCTCGAAGGTATGAAGATTGTCAAGCATCAGGTGAGAGAGCATTGTGCATGAGATGTGAGTTAAGTGTCTGGCTTTATATACTGCTTGGTAAGTGCCGAGTTTGTGTCTATAGACATTTGTTGGACTTTTAATTGCCTGGTCACATCTAATCTATTTAATTACATAGGAGTTCACCTCTTTGGGGTATTGATTAATTTTTACATGTACATATGTATGTTAATTTGTGAATGCAGTTCATTTTAGATTTCCCTCAAGATACAGGTATCAGGTAGCTTACCACATGGACCATAAAAGGTTGCTATGGAAAAAATTATATAACGGAAATTATTTGGACAGAAAACTAAAAATTGTTCATGATATGGACTACTTGTTAATGTCTTTCTTAGAGTGGAACTGTTTTCTTAATTTCTTTGACAACCAGTAGATTTATATA